CCGTCCCCGCTGCCGCCGCCCCCGCGCGCCGCGGCGCTGCCGGCCGAAGCCGACCGCCCGAAAACACTCAGAGCGCGCGCGATCGCGCCCGCCGACGGCGTGCGCCCGCTGCCCTCGCTGCCGTGCAGCGACGCGCGCTGCGACATGCCGCCAAGGCCGCCGCCGCGCCCGCCGCCGCCGCCGCTGCCGCGGGGCGCGTGTGTGGGCATCGTCGCGACCCGCAGCTCCACCGCCTGCGCCGCGCCGCCGCCGCCGCCGCCGGCCTCCGCCGCCCACTCCGCGGCCGCGAGCCGGCTCGAGTAGCGGCGCAGCACGAACGCGGGCGTGCGGCGGCGGTATTCCCTCGCCAGCGCCGGCAGCGGCGCGGGGCCGGCGGCGATGAGCCCGGCGCGGTCCTCCAGCCGGCCCCCCTTCCCCCTGGGCGGCTCTGAGGGGTACACCCGCCCCGAAAGTGACGTCATAGTGACGTGTACGAGCTCGACAGGCAGGGGGTTGCCCTTGAAGCGGTACAGGCCGCACGCGTGTACCTCCACACGCGCGACCGCCTTGGGCACGTCCCGCAGGACGTACCGCGGCGCGCCGGGCGGCTCGATGGCGTCCGGATGCGGCGCCGCCGCCGGCGGCGCGCCGTTGAGCGGCGGCAGCGGGCCCGCGGCCGCGGCGCCGTCCAAGGTTGCGGCGGCGGCGCCGCAGTCTGAGGCGCAGTTCTCGGGGATACCGGCGCTGAGCGCAGACGCGCCGCTGCGGGGCGCGGGCGGGCCGGGCTGCGATCTGAAGAAACGAGAGCGCGGCCGCCCGGCGCCGCCGGCGGGGCCCGGCGCGGCGGGGCCGGCAACTGGCGCGACGCCAAAGGGGGAGCCTGTCAAGAGGCCGCCCGTGGAGTCGGTCTGCTGCAGCGGCTCCCCCTCCGCGACCCCGCCTCCGCCAGACGCCTGCAGCGGCGCCGCAAGTGGCCGCCCGCCCGGCGCGGCGCCCCCGCCGTCCGACGCGCCGCCGCCGGGGCCGGAGAACGAGGCGCCTGCGCGGAAGCTGCTGGCGGGGCTGCTGACGTCACCCAGGGCCCCTATGCTGTCGTAGCTGCCGAAGTGGCCCCCAAAACCAGACGCAGACGCGTAGCCGCCGCCGCTGCCGCCGCTTGACGCTGCCGCCGTCGTTGCCGCCACTGCGGCGCCGGCCGCCCCTGCGCCCCCACGGCCGGAAGGCACGTCGCGCGGCGCCGACGGCTGCACGGGCTCCGGCGCGCCGCCCGGCGGCGCCGGCGCCGGCGGGGCGGGGGCGCCGTCGCCGTCAGGGGCACCCGTGTGTGGGGCGGCCCCGGCACCGGCGCCGGCCTCTGCGGCGGCGGCGGCGGACGTGTTGGCAGCATTGGTGGCCGCGGCCTCCACGTCTGCGCGCCACTCCGCCAGGACCCTCTCAGCCACCGCCGGCTCGCAGACCACCTGCAAATTCGAAACCATTCGAAAACGAGCGTGGCGGGGGAGGAGGGTAAGGGGCAGAGGGGAGCCGAACGACCCAAGCGCTGATTACTAACCTGGTTCGGGGCTCTCGCCGGAGAGCCGTGTGCTCGTGCATTCCCCCTGACCATTATATTGCGCGCCACGCACGAGGTAGCAAACAGAAGCCCGCGCGCCCAAGCCCCCAAAGCCCACGCCGCTCTCGTCACTGCCAGGCCCCCGACTCTGGCTTGAAGAACCCGGGGCGGCTGCCGAGCAGTCAGCCCACCGCACCTGCCCGCCGTGCGCGCCGGCGTCCATGTAGCGCGCCGCCTGGTTGACGCTGTTCCCGTGATAGTCCGCCCTCCCCAACGCGTCCGGCATGATCGCCTTCGGGGGCCCCACGCACAGCCCCATCTTCAGCCGAGGGCCCCGGAAAACGAGGTCGCCGTTCGCCGAGTGGACGGACGCGAAGCCGCGGTGCAGCAGGACGGATTCGGGCCATTTCAGGTACAAGGCGGCCTCCTGGACGACGAGGCACCACTCCAGGGCGGCCCTGGGGGTGGCAAAAGCGACCATGTACTTCAGGTC